GTTGGACTTGCATGGAAATACGTCTTCAAAGAATGATGCATTCTTTGACTCAATTATTGTGTTTTTATGTACATCCGGATTATTCGAATCGTACACTAAAAACCGATAAGCACTACTATTTTGTGCCTATCCAATAAAAATACAGTCCACCGTTTTTGGACCTATTTTTATTTTCTTAGGTGTTGGCACAAGCACCTTAGCAAGACACCCCCACACTTTTTAATATTGATAGGAAGGCCATCTGCCTTTCCACAACTCGTATGGAGTTTTATCATATTTTTTCCGGGGAACCTTATTTAAAAGGTAATTGCTTGTCAAGATTGCTTCGCCCCACATATTTTGTGGCAGGCCCGAACTTACTAGCATCGCGTTCATCATATATTTCAATGTGCGATTCTTTCGTTCGGCAACACCGTTGAATTGATTGAGGTGAATAGGGTGCGGTACGTTCGTGTACTATACACACGTTCGCGCAAAAGTCACCAATTGGTGCTTCATACTCACCACCTCGATCACTCCTAACCGTTTTAATCCGTTGATTAAGTTGGTTTTCCACTTCATTCTTATACAGAAAGAATTTATTGATCCACTTCATGTTTATCGTCTTGGAAACGCCTCCCTTGGGACTGAGCTTGCTCTTCCCATTGTTTTTATTTATGGAGCCTTTTGCATGCTCCACCACGTTGGCCTTGGCGCCGTGAACAATCGAGAGTTTCCCTTCGTTCTTCTGGTTATCCTCTTCAATCTGCAGACGGAGGATCAACTGCTCCAAGTTCATTTACTTTCCCTTATGCTTAAGGTAGTTTTTCAAATCCTTCAAAGCCAGCGGCAATAAATGGATAATTGATGCCACTTGGAACGACTCACTAACTATCATTCCTTCATCTCGAATTTCGTTGAAGATCATTTGCATTTCTTCAACTTGACTCAAGACCGTCTTCGAATCCACCATTTTAAAATCAAGGAATCGACCAACAACAAATTTCTTTGCGCCGGCATCCTCGCTTTTATATTTGTGTTCCAAAGCATTCCATAGCTCCTTGGCCGTAGCTAATTTGCTATACACGTCGTACAAAGCATCATGCAGCCCGTTCAACACATAGTTTCGGCAAAGGAAGTCAGAATGCTTCCAAGCTTCAACCGCATTGAAAGATTACGCATCCACCTCACCCCCGGTTACTACCAGCGCATCTTCGGTCAAGAACCTCGTGAGACCGAGAGTAGTGAGGTAAAATAGCATCTTTTGCTGCCACCTCTTGAAGTTTATCCCATTGAATTTCTCGGGTTTCTCCACAGAGTTGCTTGGCACGGTAACCATAGGGATTGCCCCTTGGTTGCCCAAAGCAGATGCTCCGCGTTGTAAACTATTGTTTACCGGAGCTCCGCTTTCAGAGTGATTATCGTTCGACACATGTTGCCCAACAACATTATGATTTTCTTGAGAAGCCATTTTCGTTTTCTTAACGTTTTTTCCCGACAACACAAAAAGGATTTAAGTTCGTTCACAGAAGTGACAAACTACGTTTTTAAGATACAAACTTAGCAACAAAATACGTTTTAAGATTGTTGGATGTGTTTCGGAAAATAAAGAAAATTAATTAAAATAAATTAATTAGAATGACTAAAGAAAAACAAGAAATGAGATGGAGCAGAATTTAGCCAAAGCTCGTGCTACGCACGATGTCCTTAAAACGTATTTGTTGCCTCCCACGGTGCTAGGAGGATTGCAACAATCGTTCCCCAGGATACGATGACTACGAACTAATGTTTGAGCACACAAACAAAAGTTCCAGCAAACAAGAACAAAGTATGAACACTTAGGAAATTTTGCGAATGCTGGAGGTGTTTTTGAGCTCAGAAATACGTGAGGAATGTGTATGAACGTGTGTATCAACGTGTGTTATTGCAAACCACCTGCCAGCCATTATATAGGAGGATTTGTTGTGTGTAAATGGTGAATTAATGGACTTGAACGTTGTACATCAATGACCAGTCCGTTGGGCATTGAATCGTCCTTGAACTGTCCATTTAACACTGCATTAAAATATAAGAATGTTGGGCATTCAATGCTGTAACGGTTCAGAACGCGACCAGAAGACCTCCCAACAGAACACCTTACGAGGTGTTCTGTCCGAAGCCAGCAGAACCCATACAAGGCTTCTGTCCGGAGCCACCAGAACACCATACCGAGGTGTTCTGGTCGAGGCCTTCTGTTCGGAGCATTTCTGCCGCTAGGCACTTCTATCACTGGGAAAAAATAAACGTTTTGGGAAGAAAACAAAAATTAACTGTATCTCTTAAGAGATAGATTTTTGGACGACATTCATGTCTGCAGGTCGCCCGCGCACGTGGAGAGAGCCTTTACCCTAAGGAATCTTAACTCCTTAAGGGGAAGTCCCTTTATAAAGGGTTGCAAACCCCTTGGGTTTTCCGGTGTGGGAAGTAACACACTAGAAACCCATCCTTTTTCCCAGTTTTTCCATTCTAACGGGTAAACTTCGAGAATCAATTTCTCATTCACCCGTTATCCGTTTTGAGCGTACCACATATCGAATTGTAGCCCTTAAATTAACAAGGTCAATCCGAAACCACTTTGACCTGACCCAAATCGGAAGTGTACTCCACTCAAAAAATTGCCCCAAAAATACCATTTAATGCAATTTCAACACATTTTTCCAACAAGCATTACAGTTATTCGTACAACTAAAAGGCTTTAAAGGCAACCAACACCAACCATACACAAGTTATCCAGCAAAACAACCACCAGTTCACATAACTATATCATCACACAGACCACATTTGTCTTCCATGGTAGATGTTCAACATCTCACTTCCTTCTTCCGACTTTATCTCAGTTCCACACTATTTCACTTGGTTGTCCAGGCTGCAAAGGGGTAACAAGATTATGAGTTTCTATAATCATTGTATTACCATTCTCATATTGAACTACAAAAGACCTAATGTTAAACGTGAATTGCAGTATGGAGCTTTTTAACTTACATCAGTGAGGGTTTCACCAGTGTTGTCATCAAAATTGACACCAAAACCTCTTTCTGCACTTCCCCTTTGTGCTTTCGCTCGTCCCCTTAAGCCTCTCCTTCCCCTTTGTGATTTCCCTCTACCTTGAGCTTGGCCATGTCCTCTTGCAGCAGGAACATGAGTTTGACCATCTAGACCAGTGGACACTCCTTGAATAGATACACCCTCAGTTGAGGTAGTTGTGTTCTTGTTGGGACAAGAAGACTTGTTCTGTCCTTCCCCTGTACATATGGAGCATTTCATAATCCTACCCTTTCTCGAAAGTTGAGAACCAGATGATGGCACTTCATTAGCTTCCCGGATCCTCTTCTTCTTTAGCCTTCATTCATCTTCTTAGGCACTGGAGGCAAAATTTCTTCATGCTCAGTACGTGGCCATAACAACTCTCCATTGATTGGTGGAAGAGTGTATGCATAAGTTTTCTGGTATAACTCCTTAATTAGAATAGCAATTATCCACATATAGTTCCGGATCCTGATCCTTGTCAAATACGGCACAAATGGCATGCGCACAAGGTATTCCAGACAAATCCCACCTTCTACATGAACATGTTTTAGCATTGAGACTGACATTAAACTGATGCCTTCCTTTTTTTATCTCATACCCATCGTCCCCATTGAAATCAACATTCCAGTCAAGGTTATTTTTCCCCACAGGGTTTTTGTTACTTGACAGAGGTTTTGACGAGACAACAAGACAGATACCAAATTCTATTCAACTCAGCACAAGGGGGAGTGTTGAAGGAAATTCTATGTAGTGTGCTATCGTTTATATAGAATATGTATTAGGGTCATTTCTATGTAAACTATGTAATCTGGGCCTATTGGCCCGTACTTGTAAACCCTGTTCTATCCCTATTTATAGGGACATTCGGTAATGAAACTCTATGAACAATTCTCCCTACAACATTAATAATATTGTAGCCATTATTTATTGAGATTCTTAAAATCAACCATCATTGAGATTATTATTTTTAGTTTTTCTTTTCTAAAAAGATTGAACTCTTTCTCCCTAAAAATTCATCACAACCTTTGGTTCAGGGAATGTTAGATTACCATGGGAATGTCAGATTGCTGGGTATGTTAGATTGATGGGAATGTATCTAATTTATTCTCATTTGTGTTTGGTTAAGATTAAGGGAATGTGATATTAATTTACTTGGTTGAAAGAAATGTTATATTGCAGATACGGTGAATTACTTCAATGTCCTTTAAATATTTTATCTTAACACAATAAATCTATTACAACCTACATCTAAAGTAATTAAAATTAAAGAAAAAATGAAATATCTTAATAATAAATAAAATCAAACCTAATTGAATTATTTTTAAGTAAACTATGGTTAATTTTAAAAAGTTGTAGATCCAATTCAAAAGTGAAAAAAACTTTGTTCAATCTACATATATTTCTTATTATTTCAAAAAAATTAAATTTAAAAAATGTTCTAAGTTATTCATAAAACTTCTTTTCAAATTAAAGAAAAAATGATCAATTTTGAAATCCATGCATCAAAAACTTAAATTATCTATAAGTCTTATAAAATAAATACCTTAAAAAAATTAAATGTTAAGGAAACGAATTATGAAAATAACAAGAATAGACATTCAATCTACTTAAATGGTTGTCACACAATCTACGATCGACTGACCATAAAATTAACTGATCCTTTTCAATGATAAGATCATTTTTTGTAAATATAATTTACTTATTTAGAAACTACGTTTAAAGTTTTATAAAATCGCACTATATAAAGAAATTAAATGAAAAGAGATAATTAATTGAGGATATTTTTGGAAGAAAATTAGACCATCATCGGGAATGTAAGATAACCTAAAGTATAAGTGGTTATAAGATTCCCCTCCATATTGCATTCCCGAGAATATAACTTCTCTGATTTTTTTTCTCAAAACCATGAACCAAACATGGATATTTCACATTCCGACCTTTATTAAATCCCAAACCAAGCATACCCAAAAATCCTATTCTGCTCACCCACACGGGTGAGAGTGTGAGACATGAACCATGCTCCTTGGTTCCAATTCTTTTCTGCGCACTCGACTAAAATCTCGGTGTTTAGCGGAAGCCCTGACCGGAATGCTCTCGCCGGCTCTTTGCCGTTTAGACGTAGGCCACATCACCTGAAAACGAGTCGGTGTATGAATAGAACCGGAACTCTGAAGGACTGGAAAGATTATGACCAAGCTGTGAAGGATAAGGACCTAACCAGAGCTCTTCGGTTCTTAAAGAGTATTCCTCTCCAACCAAAGGAGGAGTCTTGGATAGACTCCAGCCGGTATTCGAGCGAGCTGGATTGGGCAAGGGCCGCTCGGCAAGAGCGCAATTGGGAGATTTTGGATACCTGCTTGAATGCGGATGCTGGATGATATGAGGTTTGTTGCTGGAGCGTACACTTTTCTCAAGGGCATGGATCTCTTGCCCAATTTTGGGAAATGCAGTAGCATTGGTAATCTTCTTCATCTTAGTTTGTTTTTGTTTTTTGTTTTTGCAGTGACATCACCCTATAGATAATTCATTTTCTGTTCTGGACTATCTTTCACACCTCCCCTCAACTTGTCCTACTCATGCCACACAAAAATTATTAACTTTTGTTAGAGTAGTCCCATTTTTAAGAACATCAGCTGAACCTATCACATACTCACTCTGTCCCTATGATCATATAATTTTTTTAATAGGAGTACATAGTTACCATTCTAAAATTCATTTTATGGGGATCAATACACTGTAATTTAAGAGTATGTACAATTTAATTATTGTACTAATATATATACACTGCACACACATATACGTAGTATGTGTGTGTGTGTGCATGTATGAAGTATTAACCATCCTAAACCGAAATGGAACAAAGGGAGTATGAACTTATAGAGTATTGCGTTGAACTAGCAGTGGTTGGTTTTATCTGTATGTCTGATGCATGCTAGATTATGAAAAGGTAAAGGATCAAATGGAACATTGAGAAGACTGATAGTACAGGGGTTGGTTTTATTCTTATTTGATTTTAATACCTTAATTGGCTATTCTATGAAGTGATTATCTAGGATTTTCCTTTCCTTGTTTTAGGAATTCATATCAATGTAATCTGTAATAAATAATGAACCTTTGTTATGCTAATAAAATATACAAGGAATAGAATTCAAGGAGAAGGAAAACTCCCCAAATTTCAAAGAGAAAGAAAACTCTCTAAATTTCCACTTCCCCTTCCGGTCATTCTATTAATTCACTCCTGTGATGCAAAGAATCCCGGTACATAACATTTTGATTTTGTTGCTGATGTTATGGGAAATTTCGCACTTACCACTGATCAGTACACAGTTACACACTCCTCTCCGAGATACAAAATGAGCTACACAAACTAATTAACAAGCGAAAGGCACCTTCTCAATCTGAAAAATGCAGTGCAAAAGGTGCAGCAGTTAGTGCAGCCATTACTGGAGTCGGTTCAGAATCTTCTCGACCAGATTGCCAACCTTTCTCAATCACTAGACTCCTCGGCAGCTGAAGAAGCTCCCCCATCACCACCAGTAAACACTTCATCAATCTATGTTCTGCTTCAACTGCCATTAACATTGCTTCCCACACAGCAACTCTTAGGGGCTAGAGCCAATGCTGTCCCTAGCACCGATAATGCACAACGCCCCGCCCAACAAGCTTCCAAAACAAGCTACTTGGACTTTCCGGATCCATTTTCTTCAACTACAACAGTCCCAGAGTACCATTATATTTGAAGGGAGTTTTTAATGGATGTTGATCACCAGATCACCTTCACCTTAGTCCACCTCTAAGACAAACTTTCTAGGCCAGGTTCAACTTTTCAAGCTTGAGGGCAAGTTTGATTTTGGAGGAGGGGTGTAGTAATGCATGCTATATTGTAATATTACGTAAAGGTAAAATATCAAGTAATTGATTGAGGAAATTGATAGTGGTGTGGTTGATTTTATTTAGCTTATCTATTTTAGGAAGTGATTATCTTGGATTTTTCTTTCCTTATTTTAGGCATTCATATGAATGTACTCCCTTTTATAATAGATAGCTTTGCTATGCTAATAAAATATCCACGAAAGAGTTAAGAAGAAATCAAGGAGAAAGAATACACCCAAAATTCCAAAGGAGAAGGAAAAATCCCTAAATTTCCATCACCCCTTCCCGTTTATCATTATTCAAGATTTTATTTGCTTAAAGAGAAAGTGGAACAAGTATTTGGAGTTTCCTTTGAAGAAAAGTACAACCATTAAACAAAGGCAATGGAAGTAGTTACAAACTTACAATTAGTCAATTTTATATTACTGCGTATTAGTTATTGAATCATATAGCAGTCATAGTTATATATTTCAGCAAATATATATTTGTAGTTATTGGATTACCTTCTTTAAACACTCATATATAATAGGAATATACCACCGAGATGCTACCTTATATTCTTATGTGTTGGGCTAACATCCTGGGTTAGGCTACAATGTGTGAGATAGGCTAGGAGGAAGATGGGTCATGAATTATGGCCCTGGATTTCTGACTTTGGCCAGGGAAAATTCCAAGTTCATCAGTCAGCGTGGCGTAAAGTGAAGATTGGGGCATTACCCCAACAAGTACGTATCCATGCATTTCTGAATTACTACGTATAAAAGAGAGACTTATTGGAATTCAATACTCGCAGTAAATTGACTAAAGTGAGAACATCCTAGCTCTATTCCCAAAAGAGTTTGGGGTTGGCTAACATGCACTGAATCACTGACCTATGATATCAGGGTTGAAACAAAAAAAAAAAAAAAGAGGAAAAAGGGAGACAAATGAATTCAGTTTGAGGGTGCAGTAAATTGACTAAAAATATTAGGATGTTGTGGTCTCAGGCTCTCAGTTCATTTGAATAGCAATTGTGTTTCAGTGTACTTTATTCTACTGCCTCTGTAGTCTCATTGTGGTTACACATGTATTACTCCATTTATTCCTTTCAGGCTGGAACACAATTCTGCAGGGAAGAAAAACTTGAGAATGAGCTCGCTTAAGGTCGGTTGAGTAGAACTGCCTTTGACAGGTTTTGCATTCTGGTCTTTTGTACTATATTATGTGTTCTTCTTTGGTTTCATTTAGGAGTAGGTAGATACTTGGGTTGCTTGGGATGTGTCTCTGTAGAATAGTAACCGATTGTGTTCGAATGGAGAATAATACCTTTTTCCTTTTGTCACGTATTTGTCAGGTATTGCATGGTTCTTTTTGCTGGGATTGCCGCTGAAGCTCTTGTCTATAGAGAAGCAGAGGGTGGAGAAAATGATGAGAATTTATTCAGGAGCAGCTGTATTCTTTTAGATCCACCACTATCTGTTGCTCAGGTAAATTTCAAAAGTCACTTTGATGGGCAAACAAAAGAGAAGAAAACAGGTTTTTTTTGGAATTATTTTCTACATAGGTGTAGAGGATCTTATGTACAATACTCTGAGATTTCATGACTGAAGTTTTCTAAAACTATTATAGCCTTAAATATAATTCCAATTATTGCAAATATAACATCTTTGTTTTAGATCTGTGTTTTTTTTTTGTTTTTTATACCTCCAATATATGCTATTTTTATTTTATTGATTCTTTAACTTTGGTGAAATCTTCATTTGGAAATAGTATCTATATTTACTCGGACTAAAACACATTTAAGCCATGATAAACCTTAAAGAAACCAGAACGGTTATTACTCTATTTTTCAATGAGCTCATTACATATTTGGAATTGTAACAACAGTGATTCGTTATACAGATGTCAAATCAAGCTAGATGTTCAGTAATGCAATCCTATAATCTGTTGATATGGCATGAACATGCACACGGAGCTGCATTTCAAACAATAGAGGGTGGGCAGAGTCTGAGTGTGATTATTAAAACAATTGAAGAAGCTATGTCTTCCAGCAGTTGAACTATGGAATGCAAGATGGATACTTCTTTCGTGGAGGAATGGATAATATCTCACCCAGGCTTCTAATTTTCAGAACATATATAGATTTGATGGGAAACCTTTATAACCCAGAATATGCAGACTTGAAGCGATAATTTGGACGGAAAAGTAATGAAAAAACAAGAAACTTCTCAACTGGCCTGGTATAGAGTTTTTATGGCACTTTTCACTAGAGGTGGTTCAACTTACTGCTGGTAGCCTAGTAATAACATCACACTGCATCTGTGAACTGCCTTTCAGAGAAGAGATTCTTCCATGGATAGCTGCACATTGAAAATTTAGTGTGCTTTCTTAGTCTTGACACCAAAATATAGTCACTTGATTTGGTCTAGGCTTGGCATCACTCCAGGCCTCATTGAAGAGTAATGATTAGCGAACAATGTGAAAGAAATGTTTTTAGTTTATTTAAAAAGATGGTATTTATAAAGGGAAAATGTAAAGATTAAGCATTCATTTAGTTTTACCAAAATTTAGCTTCGTTCCTTTTAAGTCCTTCAAAACTGTGGTAGATGAACTACATATCAATATATCATGTAGACATGTAGTTCGCGTATTTATCTTTTTCACTTTATCAGTTAATTGTGGAGACTGGAGAATGAGAATCAAAAGTTACTGTTTGTTTTTGTTGAAGTGTCCCATTGAATATTCATCTACTTTACTGCTATGCTCCAACTTTGCTACAAGGCATGCATTTATAATAGAATTTGGAAATATAAATTGAAGTTCATCTTGAAACTTTGAAACTATAACTTGAACTTCTCTTCATTTGAATTTTTAAAACCAAAATTTAAGATTTGAATAATTAAACACATCCATATATGAGGCTATATATATGAGCAGATTGATTGATGGAGTAAAAGTGTAAAACCGTAAAAGCTAGCTAGCTAGTACATATATAATGGGTTATTAGTATAATTGGCTATATAGCTAAGCTGCTAGTATATATGGATATGAAGATGGATCTGAGATCGATCTGCATGCATTTTATGCGCTTACAAATTACTACGACGCTCAATTCGTTTCGGTATTTTTATTATTGTACGCTCCTAAACATATGCAGAGGTCCTTCCTTGTGCTGCCGCTGCGGCCTGCATGTTCATGTTCATTACAATGCCCGCGGGAAGCGGCGGTCCTCCTCCCCTCGGGGAGCGCCTCCCTTGGCCTGCTGGGTCGAATTTATTCTCCAGTTCTCTCAGGTTTACCATTCCGTGGTCTTCTCCGCCTCCGGAAACTGTCATGTTCAGAGACGGCTTCGCCTCGTAAAACTCCGACACCACAACCGAGTCGCCGATTATGTCATTTCCGTGTCCGCCTCTGTCCAAAGAGAGATGGGCGGTGGCCATCGCTGACCCGCATGATTGTCCCATCAGCTCGTCTGACCACATGAGTGGACTCTTCCCGTTGTGGCACGCGCTCGGCCTCTTCTTCTCGCCACGCGCCGCGGCTGAGCACAAATTATTGTCATCGTTGTTGTTGCACAAAAACCCATCGAGTGAAGAAGATGACCCATCGATATTGCTTTGCTGGTGAAGATCGAGATGGCCGTCTTCGTGTCCGCCGCCGTAGATGTTGAGATCTTGGAATGCCGAAAACCCTACAAAATCCCTCATGCCGCCCGAATGTTGATGATGATCAGGCTGTTGGTGATGACGGTGCGGGGGTGGAGGGGGGTGATGGCTCGTAATGCCGAGCTTGTAGGGCCCAGATGGTACTGCTCCGGGCCCCACATTGTCCCCGCCGGAAAGAGTCTGGCATGCTTTCTCCAGTATTGTTTGCATGTACTTCCCTTGAGCCTCAATCCTCAGCTGCAAATGCCTCTGTACCTGCATGGGTACATACATGTCATGCATCCCATTCATCCACATATATATAATTGAAATGTGTTTTATATTCAAACCTAATAATCAATCATACTCCTATCATTTAAATATAGGTTAATACGCTAAACTTTGACGGATAATACATTGATATACATAGCATATACTACCTGCGTCCAAAAAGATTGGCCAATTTGACCACCATTGACTAAGAAAAGTCAATTGGTCAAAGAAATTGGGACGGAGGGAGTATGAAAGTATTTATAATACTATGAAAATGTTCTTAGTTTTAAATACTACGGAGTACGTATATTATAATAAAAATATAAGAAGTACTACTTACGAAGTATTAGTTAAAGCGATTGACCAAATTTTACCCTATGTTGCACGGATACGGATACGCCGATACGCGGATACGCGGATACGGGTACGGCGATACGGCAATTTCTAAAATTATAGGATACGGGTACGGGGGTATATTTATAAATAATAAAAATATAGGGTATAATTTGCAAATATATATAATTTAGGGGTTCATAAATAAAATAATAATAGTACAAAAAATTAACTTTTATAATAAAATTTCAAAGATTAGTCTAAAAAAAACTAAAAAACAAAAGTACTAATATTTTGATTTAAATTCAAATAACATTTTTTTGTTCTCTATTTGCAATTACATCTATGTCTTGTTTCAATTAAAGCTCATCAAGCAATGAAATGACAAATTATAGTATTTCATTATTTTCTATACTCCCGAAACCATCTTTATCAATGTTCCACATGTTGTGGTCACTTGGGCGGCTACTAAATTTTCGTCATGTCGTGTATCAAATGAGGGGTTATAGGGTCAGATACGTGTATCGGTTCACGGATACGAGTATCGGAAGTATCGGTATTTTTAAAATTAAGCCCGATACTTTTATTAAATTACGGATACGGACCCAATACGTATAGGACGCGTATCGGTGAGTATCGGATACAGATACGTATCGGATACGCGGATAAGGCATCGAGGTGAAGTATCGGTGCAACATAGATTTTACCATCCATCATTGATTACAAAAGTCCAAGATGACTCATAAAAAATAAGTAAAGAACAGACAGTATATTTATGTTTACTAAAGTAATTTTATATGTTTATTTTAATTAATTATACCTAGTTACTTATATACTACATATTTAATATGCTTATTTATATGAGAAAATTTCCTAAATATGACTAAAAGAAACTTAATTACAAAGATTAAGTTCATAAATAAGACTAGCTTTGTTTTATTCTCAAAATAGAGCTCATTTACTTCTATTTTGAAAATTTTTGATTAACTTATTCTTTTAATAGGACTCAATAAGTCCTATTTTGGGAATAAAACATACGTAATCCTATTTTTGAACTTTGTGTATGTTTTAGTCATCAATTTTTACATTTATATAGGTGGACATGTCAATTCAGATGGGTCGAATCGTACTAAACTGAACTCATTAAATCAAATCGAAAATGAACCATATGAAACCAAACTGAAATCATGAAAAGACAAATATAATCAAAGACTGAGCAAATTCAATAAAATCTTAATGTTTTGTAAAAAAAAAAAAAAAGTTGAACTGAACTAATAAAGCAAATTGAACCAAAGCCAAACATAACATGCGCTTTATTTTGTAGTCATTCTTCTATCCGCCTGTTTCAAACCAAACTAAAAATTGATAAAAATTGAACATAAATTGATATGTCCATGGTGCACTCTATGGGTGGACTTGTTCACCGGACTGGGACTAGTTTGCTAGATTCGATTAGGAGACCGGCACCACGAGTACCTATCTCGGACTGTGATTTTTGGAACCATAAGAGATCTTGTAGTGGTAACTGGTTCAATCTTTTTTGTGCATTTCAAGCGTTAACAACATTTTGAAGATGTGTAAATCCATTTAAAAGCTAAAGAAGGTTAGGGAGGGGTCATGAGGTTTAAAATTGTATAAAAAATAAAACAAATATTTGGGACCACGGACAGACTCGAACGGGACATGGGACCCAGCCCAAAGTTAGAGCAAGGGTTTAGTTAGAATACTAAACTAGGTTGAACTGCTACAAAGAATCTTTTAGTCAACTTTTTACATGGATATTTTTACACTAATAATAGATACAAGGAAATTTAAATTTCAGGTGGATCAACGACTAAGTAATTGGCTCCTACCTCCGCCCCTGCCCATGACCAGTGGCTCAGCACGGGAACCGGCCTGGAACCCGTCCATGCCTAGTGCACCCCTACTTTACTCTTATTATATTATTGTTGATGTATGGTGCACTAACATCGTGAGATATGTTTTCCCGGTGGTATGCAGTGCATTTCAAATTGTTGTATTTGAGTGGAGTTGAGTGGCAAAAATAAAATGGCAAGCCTTTTATAAAGATCAAATATCATGCACGGAATTTTGCACATGCTTGATCCTTACGTGACTGTCCTGGTTCGGATTTCGATAACGGCCAATTTGTACCCACACCAAGTTCAAAAAGGGCAAGTTTAGTCTCTAGTCACTAGTTTTTGGGCGACAAATATATGGCCCATTCACATTGAGTATTTTTAGGACAAATTAAATGTTTATTATATGTAGACATATTCAATCAATTTATTGAATGATACCATTATTATATGTGTGTTTTCCGAGTGTATGTCACATTGTCACAATCGTAGATTAGCTAGGGACGACCGTAATAATTAAAAAGGTTTAAAATTAAACGGTTGGAATCAAGACAGTAATTCCCCAATGTAAATATTTATCGTTAAAGTTGCCTTGGTGTATTTATCAAAATCCAAACTTGGGTTGCTAGGCGTGGCTCAAATTTATTTCAAATGTCAATGAATACGTTGTACTTGGGCAGTATAAATCAATAATGTGCTTTGAGAAAATGCTCAAAATAAAAGAAATATAAATAAAGTTAAAACAAGACTAGCTAATTTTGTTCCTCAAATATGTATAGTACGTAGGACCAGAACTATTAATTTCGTTGATGAAATAGGATTCAACCACCCCTTACAACTTTGTATTAATTTTTTTATTTTAGTTAATTATTTCTTTTAAAAACTTTATAAAGCCTCGAATACTGCTTCAATACATATGGTACTTCAGACGACGTACAAATTATTAAATTTCAAAAGAATATGTGAAACTTAGTAAGCTGCGTCCACATCCAGACTGAGTGAATTGAAAGAGAATTGAAGGTCCGATAATTCCATATATAATACGGAGTAAATTAATTGAAGAAGGGAATATGGGAATAATTAATTACCTCTAATTGTTCATGCAGTCTTCTCTGCACTTCCATCTGCATCCTGATTGCATCATTGATTCGAACATTACTACTGCATTACACAAATCCTTACATACCTTACATAGCCTTACCAATAAATATAAGTAGTTTTCTTTTTTAAGTTAAATATAAGTAGTTTTAGTACGTAATTGTAGAAAAGAATAAATTGTAGGTTGATGAAAATCGATTAAAATAAATTTCAGGTCAAACGACAACATTTTATTTATTTTTTTAATTCGACAACATATTATTATTGAATACCAGTTGCATGTGATTACTTAATAATAAATTTTAAAAAATAAAAAAGTATTTAAATAAACAATAGTAGTGATAATTACTTGTATTGATTAAAAAAAAACGAAACCCTTAAAAAGACGTATCCTACATTTTGGCACATAGAAATGAAAGAAATGGAAGGGATATAGCGCATTATTCGTACTCGTTCATATTACGGCCAATCATTCCCGAGGAGG